GGTGCATCATAATAAAAAATTATATAAACTTATGTTTCTATTTTAGCAAAGAATAAATAATAATAATAATAATAATAATAATAATAATAATAATAATAATAATAATAATAATAATAATAATCTAAAAAAGTTATAAAATTTGCAGGGGGTGGATGGAAGGGCCCTCTTGAGTGCCCCCGCCGCTCATCCCAACCAAAGTTTTCCCATTCCATTATAAAAAATCATAAGAACTTAAATTAAACGTACCTTGCCCTTGGGCTAGCTAAGATGCTTGTTAAGTCTTAAGCTGGCTTCGATGGTTACAACCATTGGCACAATCTCCAAACCAATTATATGTGAACATCAAGCTGTTGACAAGTTGACATTGATGTCATGATAACAATGGTGACTACAAATATGAGTTTTGTGCTAAAAAATTTAATTTTGATGCAACAAATCAACAATTAATAGGATAATGTTGAATGTGTTCGACCTCCCTATTCATATATCTCAAAAACAAATACCATTATTGTTTACGAAAATGCTTAGAAATTGTTCTTCTCATTGAGATAAACATTTGTATTTCAAGGAGTCTCAAAAAAGTGAAAGTGTAGCTGCCAATAATTTGGAGGAGTTTGGGAACATGGAAAGTCATCATCGTTGGACTTTTCCTAACTATCTAGCATTGTCATTATAAATCCTCATTTCTCATCTTTCCGGTGAGTGTTGTATGTGGCGTTAAACTAACTCATTGTAAATCATTTTTAACAATTTTTATCCATGTAACTTAGGTTTACCTGCTTTCCTACTTGATCATCTAATGTTATTCTATGTTCTCCTCTAACGGGTGTGTTTTCAATCTTCATTATATATGTCCAAACTATTTGTCTATTTTCATCCATCTGATCTTCAATAGATGTCACTCCAGCTTTTATCTAATATATGTATTCCTTAGTTTATCCTAGTTACGGCATATCAATCTTAACTTTTCCATTTATTCCATAATTACTTTAGATATTAATGACCTTTTATAGTCCAACATTCAGATCCATAAACATCGTTAGCCTAATCATGGCTTTGTAAAATTTAGCTTTAAGCCTCCTTCATATCTTGTTATCACACAAAACTCTTAAGATATTTGGTAATTAGCCTCAAACTTAGAAGTTATATTCTCATATATATATATATATATATATATATATATATGACTTATAGGTCATTAGAAGGTACAAGGATATATATAGTATGGTGCATTTGTAAACATTGTAATAATTTGGCATGAATAACTAATTATATTTATGCTTTGATAGATAGGAGTTAATATATATATATATATATATTCATTCTTCTTTATAATAGATCCAATATACTTAAACCTATTACACCCAATTGTCACCTTAGTTTTTAATATTATTGATTGATAATTGGTAAAAGAATACCCACTAAAATTATATATCATATACTCAATATATATTCTACTAGTTTAAGGCCATTATTTGTTAAACATTTCTTTCATTGTTTTATTTTTTCACTTATTTTAATTGAAAATTGATATGTCGGTTCCTTTGGAACCGCCTCTTGAGGTGGTTCCTTCTGAACCGCCTCAGCCGGCCCCTCCTGGGCCGGCAATTGTATACAAAAGGAGGCGGTTTCGCCTCCTTTCTTGCCCAAATTAGATTACTGCCTAGGGGTGGGGTCCACAGGATTTGAATTTATTTGAAATTTATTTTTAGGAAAGATATGAGGAGGTGGAAAAGTCTTTAAATAGGAGAGGTAAGGGGAAGGGAAAAGCATGCAAGTATTGTTTTCTTCTTGGAGTCTCTTTGGCGTTTTGGGCTCTAGACTCTCTTGTCTAGAGATTTGGGAGAGACGATCCTCCTCTCGAATTGAGGATCACTTGTATCTTGCTTTCGTATTGTTTTTGCTTTGTTTCCCTTATTGCAATCTATCGTTTTGGGGCTGATTTCGCCCAGGTTTTTGCTTATTTCTCGCTGTTTTGTCCCCAATTAGTGATAGGTTTGCTTGCGAACTCAAGTATTCCCTTAGGGTTGCTTGCGAACTCAAGTATTTTCTATCAAATTAGTATCAGAGCGAGTCTTGGGGCCAGTGGAGGGCTGTTGTCGGCAAATTCCAATAGCAGTTTTTTTGCCCGGAAAAAGAGGTTGCTGTTTTTTGACTCCAAGATTCAGATTTTGTGAATCTACAAACTCCGGATTATAATGGCGGCCAAAAAAGTTGATGCTTTGGAAGAGAAACTCGAAGGAGAGATGAATCACATCAAAGAAACCGTGGAGGGAAGAATTTCTTCCATGGAGGGGCAGGTGGCCGATCTCAGGGATATGATGAAAAGAATGTTGGAACTTCAAGCACAAACGGCAAAATCCAAAGCGAGAAGCACGAATTCTAAAATCCAAAAGGAGGAAGAAGAGGTGGAAATCGTGGAAGGGGGAAGAAGAAGACCCTATGTGGAGCCTTTCCATAGGGTGGAAAGAGGAGATCGACATGGGGAAAGGTATGGATATGGGGGAGCGGAGCTAGGAAGGGCTGATTGGGAACGCCATGAGGGGTTTTACGGCTGTCGGGGTGCTGAATTTGAAGGGAGAAGAGGGGATTTTGAAGGGGTTTGGGCTTGGCAGGGCAAGAGAAGATCGGGAAACTTGGGGTGCTCCTAGCACTTGGGAAAGGGGAAACTATGGAAGAATCCGAGGCAATGGGGGGATGAAAAGGTAAGGAAGTTGAAGATGCCCATATTCGAAGGAGAAGATGTGTATCGGTGTATTTACAAAGTGGAGCGATACTTTGCCGTCAATGGGCTAACAAAGGAAGAGAAGCTAACGGTAGCCGGATTATGCTTGGAAGGGAAAGCCCTGTCATGGTTTCAATGGAGAGACTAGAGGAGGCCGATCAGAAACTGGAGGGAATTTAAAGACTGCATAATAGAGCGTTTTCAAACTGATCAAGGAGGAGACTTCTATGAGCAGTTCTTTGCTCTAACACAGGAGAGATCAGTAGCAGATTACCGGGAGCAGTTTGAGCACCTAGATAGCAGGGTGGAGCGACTCTCAGATACAGTATTGGAGGGAAATTTCATGAAAGGGTTGAAGGAGGAGATCCGAGCAACAGTGAAGGTGTTGATGCCCCGTGACCTGGGGGAGGCCATGAAGTTGGCCCAACTGGTGGAAAATCAGAGGAATTTGGGGAAGGGAGCCAGGAGTAGCAGCACCGGGGGCACGTACAGGATGACGACTACTCATCTCGCACCTAAAGGCCCTGCAACAGGAGGGAATAGAGAAGCTACCAAGGAGAAGACAAGAGGAAACAAATGAAACTTCAAACGGCTGACAGAGAAAGAGATGCAGGAGAAGAGGGCTAAGGGCTTGTGTTTTCGATGCGATGAAAAGTACACACTAGGACATTGGTGCAAGAATCGAACTCTTCAGGTTCTCACCGTCTGCGATGACAAGGAAATTGAGGAGGGAGGTGAGGACAAGACAGAAGGAGAAGAGGAGCTACACTTGGATTTAGCTGAGGTTTCCCTAAACTCAGTGGTGGGGTTTACTATGAATCACACCATGAAAGTGAAGGTAGAGATAGAGGACAGGAAGGTGGTGGTGCTAATTGATAGTGGGGCTACCCACAATTTCGTTTTCACCCAGGTCGTAGACTAGCTGGGAATAAAATTGGTGGACACAAGCTATTACGGAGTGATGATGGGTACATGGAAGATAGAGAAAGGTCAGGGGATTTGCAGAGAAGTACGACTGACGATCCAGGGGATACAGGTAAGGGAGGACTTCCTTCCACTAGAGCTGGGGAGCACAGACGTTATCCTGAGGATGAAATGACTGCAAACTTTGGGTGACACCAAAGTGAATTGGGGAGCACTCACGATGGAGTTGATGGTGGATGGAAGGAAGGTAGTAATTAAGGGGGACGCGGGACTTTCCAAATCCCTAGTTTCTCTTAAAACGATGGTGAGAGATATCCAGTTGGCAGGCGGAGGATACTTAGTAGAATTGCACAGTTTGGAGGGAGCAAGAGTGGAAGAGGGAAGAGACATACCCCTCTCCATCCAGTCGTTGATTCAGTAGTTCCAAGAGGTGTTTCAACCACCTCAGGGATTGCCACTGCTGAGGGAGCAGGAACATGCCATCGTGTTGAAAGAGGGAGTGTCACCCGTTAGTGTCCGACCTTATCGCTACCCTCAGTTCCAGAAAGATGAGATAGAGAGGATGATTAGATAAATGCTGGAGGCAGAGATCATCAGACCCAACATCAGCCCATTTTCTAGCCCTGTTCTGTCAGTAAAAAAAAAAGGATGACAGTTGGCATTTTTGTGTGGATTACAGAGCACTCAATAAGGAAACTGTACCAGACAAGTTTCCTATACCTATCATTGACGAGCTAGTAGATAAACTAAGTGGGACCGTGATATTCAGCAAGATAGACTTAAAATCAGGTTACCACCAGATCCGAATGAAGAAGGAGGATGTACCCAAAACGTCCTTTAGAACTCATGAAGGACATTATGAGTTTCTGGTGATGCCGTTTGGCCTTACCAATGCTCCAGCTACTTTCCAGGCCTTATGAATAAGGTTTTCAAACATTTTCTCAGACGATTTGTACTGTTATTCTTTGACAACATCCTGGTCTACAGCAGGACAGAAGAGGAGCATTGGGATCATTTGAAAAGGTTGCTAGAGGTACTGCAGGAGCACCAGCTGAGGGCTAATTTGAAGAAATGCTGCTTTGCACAAGCCAGTGTAGAATACTTGGGCCATGTGGTGTCAAAAGGAGTTGCAGCGGATCAGTCCAAAATTGAAGCTATGATAAGGTGGCAAGTGCCGAAAAATCTTAGGGAATTAAGGGGATTCCTAGGACTGACGGGTTACTACAGGAGGTTCGTGAAGGGGTATAGCTCCATAGCATAGCCACTCACGGAACAATTGAAGAAGGACGGGTTCCTATGGGGAGAGGCGGCTACATCAGCATTTGAGAGCTTGAAGAAGACAATGACTACGATGCCGGTCCTAGCCTTGCCATATTTCACTCAGACCTTCATTGTGGAGACAGATGCTTCAAGGTATGGGCTGGGTGCAGTACTGATGCAGAGTCGCAAACCCATTGTCTACTTTAGCTAGGTATTGACTGCTAGAGCCCGACTGAAGTTAGTTTACGAGAGGGAGTTAATGGCCATCGTCTTAGCCATCCAGAAGTGGGGGCCTACCTACTAGGGAGACATTTCATAGTCAGGACAAATCAATGAAGCCTGAAATACCTACTGGAACAGCGGATGGTGACGGAAGAGCATCAAAGGTAGTTGTCCAAATTGCTAGGGTGCTATTTTGAGATTTAGTACAGACTAGGAGTAGAGAACAAAGCGGCAAATGCTTTGTCCAAATGCATGGGGGAGCTGCAGACAGTTGCATTATCCGTTCCTTTGATGCTTGATTGGGAGGCTATCAGGGAAGAAAGTGTTAGAGATGAAGAACTGGGAAGGATCAAGGCAGCTTTGCTAAAAGAGGAGGGTAGCCATCCATGGTACTCATTAGAGGGAGACAAACTACTGTACCAGGGGAGATTTGTGTTGCCTTGTACCTCGATCCACATCCCAAATTTACTCCAGGAATTTCATGGGAGCGTAGTGGGGGGCCATTCAGGAATGTAGAAGACTTACAAAAGACTAGCGGTCGAGCTTTACTGGAAGGGAATGCATAGAGATGTAGAAGAGATGGTGGCAAGGTGTGAGATATGTCAGAGGAACAAGTATTTGGCGATGTCACCAGGGGGACTACTACAGCCGTTGGCACTACCAAGATGAGTCTGGGAGGAGATATCCATGGATTTCATATATGGGCTTCCCTGTTCAGAAGGCTTCACAGTAATCTTGGTAGTGGTGGATAGATTGAGCAAGTATGCTCATTTCATTCCCCTCCGACATCCTTACACCGCGGTGACAATGACTTCAGCATTCATTAGAGAGGTGGTCAGATTGCATGGCGTACCAGAGGCGATTGTGTGAGACAGAGATAAGGTGTTCCTCTGTCATTTTTGGAGGGAATTGTTCAGGTTACAGGGGACAGTTCTGAAGAGGAGCATCGCTTACCACCCACAGATATATGGCCAAACAGAGGTGGTCAATAGGAGCTTGGAGACCTGTTTGTGATGTTTTGTGTCAGAGACACCCAAACTTTGGGCCAAATGGCTGTCCTGGGCAGTACTGGTACAACACCTCTTTTCACTCGGCTTCACAAATGACTCCATTCAAGGTGATGTACGGAAGGGACCCCCCTCACTTTGTGCATGTTGGGAGTAGCAGTACTCCAGTCTCTTCAGTAGATGAGTACTTGGAGGAAAGGGATCGAGTATTAGAGGAATTAAAGAAATATCTGCTGAGACTCAATAGATTGTGATGAAACAGCTGATGGTCATAGGAATGACATCCAGTTCGAAGCAGGAGATAAAGTGTTCTTAAAGCTCCGACCATACCGGCAAAAGACAATGGCCAACAGAAGAAATGAAAAGCTCGCCCCAAGATTCTTTGGACCTTATGAAATATTGGAGAAAATCGGAGCAGTGGCATATCGGCTGAAACTACCACTCATGGCGACTATTCATCCGGTTTTTCATGTGTTACAGCTGAGAAGAGCTATTGGAGATTATACAGCCAGCTTGGAGTTACCAGCCACACTTACAAAAGATTTAGAGGTGATTATGGAACCCTTAGAGTTGATGGGGGTTCGTCAGAAAGAAGAAGGGGCAAAAGAAGTACTGATCAAGTGGAAGAATCTGCCGGACTACGATGCCACGTGGGAGCCGTACGAAAGGGTAAAGCAGCAGTTTTCTAGTTTTCACCTTGAGGACAAGGTGATTCTTTGGGAGGACGGTATTGATATGGCGGTTCCTTTGGAACCGCCTCAGCCGGCCCCTCCTGGG